TGTAGGTGATGCAGTCCAGATTGCTGCAGTGGGATGGAAATACTAATGTGTAGTGTGTTGTGAGTATATTTACACAATAAGTACTCTGAATTCTCTTTACTATATACTCTGAACATGTAACAAACTACCATTGTCACTACATTGAGTTTACTGTTTTATGGTTTGATCTGAAAATATTCCATTGTCAAATTTTAATAATTTCCTATGTTTATTCGAAGCCATTCTAACTCTTGGTTGAAACCTTAAATCAGTTGTTGCCTGGTCCTGAATGTCAATTCTTTTTTTAATGTTTTCTAAATGAAACTTAAAATGCTGCTGAGGCCTATCTCAAAGTCATTATCTACCAAAGATACATATAGTTCCACTCATAGCCAGCGGGGGCAGTAACACGATGTAAAACACTAGCAACAGATCACTAAAAGAACAGAGGAAGAAGGCTGCTAGTTAAAAACTAAACTAAACTCTAAATTTGACTAAAGAACACAATGTTCATCTTCTTTCTTTAACCCGAATGTTGCCGAATGTTGGAGCGATTTCTTTAAGCACGTAACTTGTTGTTAAATTTTTCTGCATGTAACACAAAAAAACATGTTAAATATTGTAGTGTGTGTAGTGTATTTGGAGCAGAACAGGCCTAGGCTGCTTCCGCCCTGTCTTCTAGTGTTTATGCTAAGCTAACTGACTCCAGCTCTGTACATAACACACAGACAGAGTGGTATCAAATTACTCATCTCAGTCTCGGAAAGAAAGTGAATACATTTCCAAAAATCTTGAACTGATCTGGCAGTGTTGCTTGTTGGTAGGAAAACAGCACAGTTGGAGCTGGATATGGCGTGGACAGTTGACATTGCTGTTCCAGTGGCCAACCGTGGCACAGCAATGGTCCAGAGAGCATTTCCTCCATAGCGTCTGTACTGTAGAACTGTTGAGGGGTCATAAATATCATCAACTATGCATGATGTAATCTCACTGTAAAGTCCACGATGCGAGTTGGCAGGGACAGTGAGAGAGACACTAATGCACAGCAGGGTTTCTGGGAAATGAGGTCTTTGTGTGGACCTCCCTCCCCTGCAGCCTCTTGACTAATTACATTACTGCAGCACTGCCTTGACTGGACACTTATATAACCTTATATAACCCTCTGTACAGCAGAACACACTGGAGACGCCCTGGCGGTATCACAGGGAGACGTGTGTGTGTGTGTGTTTATTAACTTGTAAGAGCCTTCACTGGCACACTTACCTTCACTCTGCAGCCTTACAAGTGACAACCAATCAAATGTCCACACTTTCCTTGAGAGGACCAAATGTCCTCAGTTATGAAACATGTACTGAGCATGCGTGCACACAGTAAACCTACAGTAATACAGTGTGTGTGTGTGCGTGAGTGTCCGTGTACTGCTATGTCCGTGCTCGTGTTTCATTTAGTAAATCAAGGTTTCAAGGGGCTCCTGCCCACACCCCGTGGCGGGGCGCAGGACCGCTCTGGACTGGTAAACTGCAAATTAAAAGGGTGTCGCGACGTTGGACGGTTGAGCTTTAGTGCTGTTAATCTGCTGGTGGTGGTGTGTGTGTGTTGTGTGGTGTGTGTGTGTGTGTGTGTGTGCTGTGTGTGAGGGAGTACCAAAGAGAGAGAGCGAGAAAGAGAGAATGGTTAAATAGAAGCAAAAGATGGAAGTGTTTGTGGGTATTTTTTTTAGCTTAGTGCTGTAATCTGCTGTGTGTGTGTGTGTGTGTGTGTGTGTGTGTGTTGCTGGGCAGGGCTGTCCCAGAACTGGGGTGTAAACATGGTTTCGTAATGCAGCTTGCCGTCACACCTCCTTGTAAAATGGCAATGGAGAGACAGAGAAGGTTTTTTCTTTTTTTTTCAAATCAACTTTATTTATATTGTGATTATTAAATAAATACAATGAACAAATATAATTAAATCAGAATATCACAGTGCTGACAACTAGATCAGTGAAATAGGAATATAAATTAATAATATAAATATGTAATGATATGAATTTAATACAAGAACAAGGAGGGAGAGAGGTATTTGGAGAATGAAATGGAGTTCAGTGAAACTCTCTCTTGTTTTGTACAAGGAAAGAGGGGAATAAAAAATAGGAATGTTGAGAAGATATGAAGGAATAAACAAGAGAGAGAGAGAGAGCCATCCAGTAATACTGAAGTGAAAACTGTTGGGCAGCTGTGTTGGAAAAAAGTGTGACTCTCTGACGCCCCCCAGTGGCACTTGTGTCACCTTCAAATGAAGCTGAACCTGAGAGACGAGTTGCTCTATTGTGTGATGAAGAAACACGTCACATGAATGAAGTACAGCAGGTCATATAATAAAAAACTGGTTCAGCTTTTATTGAGAACATACTAACATAGTGTGTAGTACAATGACCCCATGATAGCCCACGGCAGGAAATAAGTGCAATGTAAATGAAATGAGCAAAGGTTGATCATTTTTCAAGAAGGCACTTTATTTACATATTAATGAAGAAAATTAAATATTAACAGTTGAAAGAGTCATTTGCAAACATGATACATGATTTTTTTCCACTACACTTCTATTTTTACTAGAGCCAGACTGACCAATAACTAAATCTGATACATAATGAAAAAAAAAACTTCTTGATAAGTTTGTTTTGTAATTAATTGTGACACTGAGCGGCTACACAATTATTAATTATTTAGTGATGTCATGAGTAATTAACAACCTCAATAACTAATGTCTGTACTGCTATATCTCATACGTACGCACCAATAGCAATATATTTGTGATAAACCGACACTGACTGGTGATATTTGTTTAGGCAGTGTATCAGTTAGGCTTTAATTCTCACATTCCAACATCCTCCTGTTACACTTTAGTTTAGAATTTGGTAGTTACATTTTGCTCAGGTCTCTTATTTTGGATAGCAATGTGATGTATGTTAAAGTATTCAAATGGAGGGTCCAAAAGTCAAAGGGATGTGTTTTTTTTCACTCACTCAGTCCTTTTTCTTTTCTCAGGTCGGTTATGGACTTAGAGCCAGTCGATCCAGATTCGCCAGACATCAAGAGGAGGCGGATCCACATGTGTGACTATGAAGGCTGTAAAAAAGTTTACACCAAGAGTTCCCACCTCAAAGCCCACAGGAGGATACACACAGGTGAGACCTGCCAACAGAACAAAATCTCTTTCTGAACAATTGAATCCCTCTTAGTCCCCTTATTCAAATACTGTAGTGTAATTTAAAAAATAAAAATAAATAAGCCATAAAAAGATGTGACTGGTTCATCGTATTGTGGTGGGTATTTTCCAGCAAAACAAAAGCAGGTAAAGCTGTGAAAAGCTACATGCATTTAGCTCTAAAGACTTGGAAAAAGGGAAGAAATGCATTTTTAAAGCTCCTAAAAACACATTTTCTGAGCAGTTTGTTAGTATAAAAAACCACAGGCGTGTATTGTATTGCATCTTCATATATTCACAGTTTCCAATGCCAGCCAATGCTCATACAGGGAAACATTCTTTGTAGAAGAGACAGAGACCAATTGTACTGAGCTGAGTTGGGAATTCTGGTAAATGTAGTAAATAACCAACTGATTGCGTCATTCCTGCATTTTTGTTACCAGCAGAATCCAGACATTCCTCTTCCTTCTCTCGCTTCCTCCCACCCTTTCCTCTCCCCTAACCTTTCTCCTTGTCTCCTGCTTCCTCCAGGTGAGAAGCCCTACCATTGTACCTGGGAGGGTTGCACCTGGCGCTTCGCCCGCTCCGACGAGCTGACTCGACACTTCCGCAAGCACACGGGGATCAAACCTTTCCGCTGCACCGAGTGTGACCGCTCCTTCTCCCGGTCAGACCACCTCTCCCTGCACCGCCGCCGCCACGTCATGATGTGAACTCTGACCTCCTTCCTCCCCCGAACACCCACAACTCACCGATCAACCTC